ATCAGCCTGGTTCCAGTATGCGAGTGAGGTCGCCTCCAGCAAGCTGAACCATTATCCCTAAGTGCCTGAACAGTCCTAACAAAGGACTCGATCCAGTCTCCAGACAATTGCTCGCACTGCAGAAGAAAAGCCTCAATGCCTCTTTATGGACAAGTGCCAGCCTGCATGGCCGATGCTTTCAGACTAGGCCTGCCTGCCAGCCTGCCTGCTGAGGTTGAATACCAATCTCGCAAAGACGTGTACAGAAGCGCAACCCACATTGCTTGAAGAAGGTAAGACATCGGACTGATCAGGTCCCGAACGAATAGGTCACTCAATTTTCACCCTCGATGCCCGCCAAGGTGTGGGACATGACCCGCACATGCGTCCGAAATGAAAATGAAAATGTTGTTGTTGTTGTTGTTGTTGTTGTTGTTGCTGCTGCTGCTGCTGCTGTTGTTGTTGTTGTTGTTGTTGTGTGGTCGTCGTCGTGGTCTCGTCCTCGTCCTCGTCCTCGTCCTCGTCCTCGTCCTCGTCCTCGTCCTCGTCCTCGTCCTCGTCCTCGTCCTCGTCCTCGTCCTCGTCCTCGTCGTCGTCGTCGTCGTCGTCGTCGTCGTCGTCGTCGTTACAATGTGATGTATAGACCATGCTTCTTACACTTATTCATGTTCTTCTTCCTTTGCTGATTCTTCTTATATTGATGTACTGGTTTGAAGTGAAATTATTGTTCCTTTTTGGGGGGCTCGGGGTTTACGGCGGGGATGCAGTTGCTCTTTCGTTTTTCCCGATCCAGGCGCTATAATAAGCCTTATAAACCCAACAAAACAGTCCACAGAATTTCAACGGCAAGAAGACTACGCTAACCCGAACCGGGAGGATGAGATGAAGGGTTTCAAGTTTGAGGTTTTCATGGGCCCTCATGGCCCCTACAGTACCTGCAGAACTGATGAAGAAAACTCTGAGGAGCCCGGCAGATCAGGCTGCCGTAGGTAGCGGGCGCTTGCGCGCCTGTCACTGTCCCCAGCAAATTGGTGCCAGGCGTGTAGGCGGCAGCACTTGACGGGCGAGGCGGCCTGAGCTGTTTTTTGGGGACTGCCTCCTCGAAGCACTTCACATGTCAACCGTGGAGCACAACACACTACTTCTTGCTTTCTTGTCGTGCTCAGAGAGTCGATCGAGCCGACGCCATCACTGAATGTTTACCCGACCAGTCCGACGTCAGCTTGCCTTGAACCCTAAAGACCCTACAACCCCTAAAGCCTGAAACCCTAAACCCTGAGTTGCGAAGAGCCTGGGGCGGTGGCCGAGGTGCCAGGCGGGTATGCATTGCCCTTGGCCGCAACATGAACTCTACAAACCACTAGGCTGCTGAACAGGGAGGAAGGAACCTTTGATGGGACAGCCTGGAGCTTGTTCAAGATGTTCTCTACTCATAAAGCCTTTGCCAAACAACCCTGAGCCTTAAGCCCTAGAAACCTTAAAGCCCTAAACCTTAAAACCCTAAAAGCCTTAAAACTCCTAAGAAACCTGCACCCTAAGACCCTGCTGGGCTCCTGGCCGCAGGCAAGGTAGGTGGAGAGGGCAGGGCTGAGCCACTCAGGGCGGTGACCTTGTTGTTATTTGAGGGTTTCGGGCACGGGGTGCCGAGGGCTTTGGGCTTCAGGTATCTTCAGGGTCTAGGGCTTTGAGGATTTCAGGATTAAGGGCTTTAGGGTTTAAAAGGCAGCTTCAGGCTTCAGGGGGTTTAGTTGCGGCTGCTCAATCGTGTGCGAAACGGTTGCGAGACTGCGCGAGAGTTTGGGGGGTTGAGGGCTTGGAGGGTAGAGGATTCAGGGTTCGGGATTCGAGAGCAGAGGCTTCCGAATTTACGGGGTCGGGACTCAAGGTTAGGCTCTCGAGGGTTCAACGCATTGAGGGTTTAAAGATACAGGAGGCTTCGGGGTCCCCAGGTGAATTAAAGGTTGAAGGTCAGATTGATGAGTCGGCCTTTCGCAAACCCCAAAACTCGGGTGTGGGGAAGGTTTCAAGCAGCCGGGGGGGAGGGGGGGTCTTTGCGATTCCAGAGTCCATCCTTCTCTCGCTAAATGCAACTAAACTCGGCCATGCTCTGCCGTGAACCGACCTGTACGGCGCCGCAGGGCGATCTCTGCGATTGGTGCATGGCCGAGGGGCCTCGAGCTTCCAGGAGCTTCTGGGCTGCTTTCGGGAGCTTGGGGGTAAGGGGGTTCCTGTGTTATAGTGTCTTGGGGAGGGGGTACCCCTGCTTCGGGAAACACCCATGTCGTAGAAGGTTCCGGGAACCATGAGTATTGCCTCGGGATTATGGCGACCCCTTGCTTTCAAACCTAGACCAGAAAACCTAAAGAACCACAAATTCAAAATTGATAGACCCCAAAACCCATAAACCCTAAAAGCCCTTCAAAGCTCTCAAACGCCCTCAAAAGCCCTACAAATCCTCAAGCTGAGGAAGCTAGGATCCCACCGGCAGTTCCGCACCCAGACCTGGTGGGCCCCAACACGCTGAGGCTCTCAGGTCGCAAGGGGGGCAGGTCCGAAAATCCGCCCAGACCCCCCCCAAGCCCCACCCTCAACCCCGCAAAAGGCTTCATAGTATTCTCCCCCCCCCCAAAACAAGAAAATCCTACAAGCCCGCAGGAGACGTAGACTTCAGATTGCCGAAACCCCCAAACAAGTGCCCATACTAAAGATACTAAAGTAACCTTAAACCCTAAACCCTACCTTCAACCCTAAGCCCTACACCCGGCAATGGCAACTTCTGAGACCCGCCTTGGGACATTGATATGTCGTTGGTGGGATGGCGGTCCAGGTCGAGGGTTAAGATGTAAACTTGGAAATGCTGATAATGCTGAAACCTCCGTGCTAAAGGTAAGCGATCGAAGCTACGGACAGGAACTAGACTATGTTATAATTGGCGTAATTGGCGCATTTTGGTGTAGTAAGATTGTAAACGCATGAACACAGTGACCAGAATATCATTCATGCACTTCGTTTCACTCGTGCTTATCACTTAAGAGAATTGAAAAATACTAAAGGGAGAGGATAGTGCACACTACTTTTTTTTCTTTTCGCCGACTTCGACTTGAACCAAGGTACTCCGGCAGGTTTTGGGGTTTTTGGTTTAGGGTGGAATGAAAACCCTACAAGCCCCCAAGCCCCTAAGCCCCGAACCCTAAATCCGAAACCAGAAACAGCCCTCAACCCCAAGTCCCAAAAACCGATTTGGGGTTTACGGTTTAGGGTCGAACCCCCTCATCCCACACCAAAACACGAAAGGAAAGTCCGGACTCAGAACTGTCAGTGGCCAGGCTGGTGCTTGGTTTTGTCAGCGTGCCCTACCTGTACCACCTGTCCCCCCGCTCCCTGCCAGCCCCACCCCCCGGCCGCACCCCCTCTGAACATCAGTGCCATGATCTAGCATTATCGGTTGCAGGGGTCCTCCCTGGTGAGTGTCTCATAATTGCCTGGTTTGGGGGGTGTACGAGGGCGGCAGCAAGCCTAAGACAATGAAGCAGACGCTCGAGTTTTTTCTACCGCAGCATTTGGAACACTTGCGTCGCCACCTTTGACCGCTCCGGGTTCCTTGGTTGTCCGACTGGCAGTCAGGCTTTCCGAGCTTGCACTGCGCCACCGGGGCCCTTCCTCCAGAGCGCCACAGGAACACCCCAAAACAAAAAACAAAGATCCCAACAACAAATCACGAACATGATCCGCTCACATGCGAGCTCTCCCTGAGCTCTTCTCTCTCTGTGGGAGCGCTTCTCTTTCTAAGCTTCGCCTCGCGCCAGCGCGGCGAAGGCCTTCTTCAGCTGCCGATCCTGGCAGGAAAGGGGGAGAAGGGGAGAAGCCGTTCACATTGTCCACATTTGTTCACAGAGCCTTGAACGAAGGGAAACGAAACACCAGTATGCTGTTGTCAACCCTGGTCTTGCACCACTTGCGCCTCGGCATCGCTGCCATCCACCCATATCGACAAACATTCCTTCAAAAGCAACTGCACCTTCGCACTTCGTCGATATCCACTTCGGTGACCTTGGCTTCTTTCAAAAAACCTTTGAGGCTTGGGTGCTACACCTTATCATCCATGGCACGCAAACATTAAAGAACTCATGCTTGCACTCACGAGCCGTTCACCAAGAAGATCTTGAAAGCCAACCTGGGAGATCAATCTGTGTGAGCTCAAACAAAACAGATTAGCAAGCGACAGGGCTTTGATTCGATTCCTGCTTCGAGGCCTGTCTTGGAAACGCACCATGAAATTACGCTTCATTATTTATTTACGTCGGAGACTTCATGTTTTTGTTGGTAGTATCTGGCGATTGGCTTGTGTTTATGCAAAGAGATGGTGGATCGCTGCACGTTCCAACTTGAGAAGGGGCTACGAAAGCTAGGCACCGCAGGGGGGTGGCATGCAGGGAGTCGGCAGGACTTGGAGCCGCCGGCGCCACGATTGAGTCCATGTAGAGACTCAACCGGTTAGTCAGGTAAGATCGAAGACCCCTAAACTCGAAATCTGAAGCCCTAAACTCCTTCAGCCCCCTTGCTTCCCCCGCTGGAACCCCGTGTCGCAAACGAAGTTTAGGTACAGGGACGCTCTGTTCAGTACGACCTCTGCAAAGTACCACAGACCTTCAGAGCATGGTGACTGTGGGGGGCGGGGGAGGACCTTGGGGAGGGGTGGGGGGGGACCTTGTGGGGGGAGGGGGGGGCCCCCCCCCCCCACTTATCCACCGCAACACCTTAAAGGAGGGGGGGGGTCACCTTATCCTTCGAAGTGATGGTCAGGTGGGGGGGGGGGGGGGGGCCCCCCCCCCCCACCCCCACCTTAAGTCTTGGGTTTCGGACCTGTTAAGGTGTGGAACCCTTTTTTTCCCTGGAAGCTTCTTAACAAGGTGAATACCAGTGCATGGGTAAACGACAACTCCCGCCAGCTCCACAGAGCTAGCTTTCGTGACATATGTGGGTGAGTGCGCGCTCAGGCCAAGCGCTGGACAGACGCGCAATCACGTCCAGAGAACATCTCGCAAGGGAACTCCCGCAAAGGCCCAAGCCTCAGGAAACAAATCCTCCCACGTTCACCCCGACACTGCTCAGGAGATCTCAGGAGACGACGTGTACCCTGTCCAGGAATCCTGGTAGATTAAGCGTTGCACCAAGGCTCTCTTTTTCCGTTCCGACATCTCTGCCTTCGACAGTCTGCACCAGCTGAATGTGGGAACGCAGAAGCCCACACAGTAGTCGACCTCGAAAGCCCTGTCTGACCTTGCTGCAGCATCAGCAAGCATCAGCAAGCTGTGTACTGATCGGGAAGCAAACATAAGCAAACTGTGGAATCCAAACCAGGTCATGTTGACGGAGCACTGCACGCGGCATGTGCCTCAGCTTAGGAGCTCTCATGCAGGTGGATAAACACTTAAGGCACTGTGCAGCGCAAGAAACTCACCCAGGAGAAAGAAGAGCAACTTGTCGGTGAAGTGATTGCAGTTGTTCGTCCTTAGATCCCGCTTGTTTTGAAAGAGATCGTGCCATTTCTCTGAGAAGTCCCGCCCGCAAATAGGCGGGCATTCTCTCAAAACCTGGACCTCTTCGGCCCCAATCTGGCCTCCTCAAAACAGCTCCTCAGCCCGAGTGTAGAAACCCTACTGTGGTCTAGGGCCACCCTGCAGATCTCCTGACTGCTCGCTCTGTTCTAGCTCTAGCACTGTCAAATCCTTGAACCATTTGCAGAGCATGCAAAGCAGACATCATACAGAGTCTGAAGGGTCATGAAACGCCGAGAAACTAAGCCACCACCACGCCGCCGGTGCCGGCGGGCAGGTGAAGCATCTACAAGCACTGAGCACTTGAGGGTCGGACAGGAGGTCATAGTGGCACTCATCATAACGCACAGAGTCTATGATCAGCCTCATCAGAGACTTTGCGTCAAGACTTGGAAACAAGCAGCGCGCCATTGAGGGCACCTGATCAAGAAGCTGTTGATCTGCAGGCGCGACTTGGAAGTGTAGCCCAGGAACCTGCGAGCAAGGGACGCCCAACGACTACGCAGGACCACGCACAATGGCAAGCTGCTGTTGCGTCAACCCTATTACTATTTAGTGTTCTTCTTTGCCTCTTCTCTAAAGGTTGCCCGTACGCTGACTGCCTGGACGCATTAGAATTCAAGGTCTCTTGCACAAGCGCTGTCGTTGCCACGGTGAAACGTTTTGACATCGTAGGTCTCTCTGACACAAGAAACATATTCTCAGGAGTGTGCCCTGGAGCGCACTGGTGGATAGACCTTCCAAGGTAAAACTCGCCTCGGCAGTACGTTGCTTGCATGACTCCTGCAACTGCTTTGCATTGAGAACCTGACGTGCTGCTTCTGGCCACTCCACCACGAGAGCCGTGTGCCAGATGGCCTGACAACTACAAGAGCAGTGCGAGAGCTGCGATAGCACCATGGCTTCTTGGCGATGCTCAAAGTTGTACCGCCCACTGCAATGTTAGCTGCTGGTACACGTCGCAGCTACCTACAGGATAGGGTAGGCCTGCAGATCCATTCCAAGGAGCATCCGTGACCAGCGAGAGGCGAAGCCAAACGAGGCATCGTACATCCACAAGTGGACGGCGTACTCGTCATCCAGGCCGCACGCCTGCTCAGGTGTTTTTGTCCTGCTGGGTGCAGTAGTTATGAGTAGTGCTCAATTGTGCGAGCGACCCGAGCCTGACACGAAGACTCGCACCGCTCTTTCGGGGCAAGTGAGCTCACCGGGCTCGCCTCGCAGCATTCGCCACAGCAGACACAGCCAAAAGCCGAGCGGGCACATGAATGCATGAATGCCTCCCCCTCAGGCACAGGAGTATCCACCTGTCTGCTAGCGCGTGTCATCAAAAAGTTTGAGAAAAGGAGAGAAAAACACTGTCTGACGAGAACCAGGCAGAAGTCAGGAAGGAATCCAATGTCTCCACCTGCATGAATTCGCATTGGCACAGATTTAGCTGAGACGAGCGACTCCTTTTCGTCTGCAAGCTCCATTTTGCAGTGCTGGCACAACCCCACGAAACCCAATCCGAATAGAAATGGCTGGTCCGTCAACGCCGGAAACATGCAGTGACGACATCTCTCCATCTCTCAGGCTCTCTGACGCAAGTTTAAACAATTCAACCAGCCTCTCATGATGACCAACCTTTGATTTCCTATCTTTCCCGTGCTGAAGGTCCTCAAGGATTGGTTGGCTATGATGGATTGAACAGGATGCGTTCCGGGCCTGGCTATTGCAATCCCGAAAATCGCAATATCGCAATCAGCAGATTGGATGTTCGTTCTGACAACTTCTGCCAATGGCGGATCAACTCACAAAACCCACGAAATCTTCAGCCCATGTACTTTCGAACTCTCGGGCAAAGAACCTATTTCTCTCTTGGCCGCGCAGCTATCAAAACTCAAGCTCGCACCATTGGACACCACGTACTCCTGATCTAACGGTCGTTTGCATCCGACTGCTTTAACGGTAAGGGTCTATATGACGTCCGCACGAATCACGAGCGCGACCCAAGCACGCCTGGGGCAGCAGATGGGAAAGGTAGACTGAGATGTGCGCTGATTTCAACGAGATGTGAGTGCGCTTGTTTACAGAGACCTGATAAGTTTGAGAGCGGTGACGCGCACGTTCTGCTTTTGAATGTGTGAACAACTTTGGGGAGCCTTTTTGCCGGAATGGCTTGGAATCGAATGGAAATACCGTGCTCGTGCGGATCTATGGGTTCGCTTCTGCAAGGGCTTGTATCTCAGGCCGCACATGGAGGCACCGCGCTGGAATGCTGCAGTAAACGTACCATGCAACATACACTCGGCATGCATCTCGGATCATTTTTGCGACGTGGCGTCTGCTAATTCGCCTCGGCTTCCTGCCGAGAAGCGTCTGGAACAAGCAGGAGCTGCAAACCGATGCCGTGGAGCCCCTGTGCATTTAGGACGCGCGGGAAAATGCATTTGCGGTCTGCCGCGCGGGAAAATGCATCCGGAGAGTGTCGTGTGCTGGAAAGGAACCAAAACCTCGTTCTAGACCTCGCCGCCTTCGTGGCGCCCTTAGCCCAGCACCCCTAGACCGACGCGCGGAGACTGGAAAACGACCCAAAACCTCGCCCCTGAGCTTTAGACCCTGTACCCTCGGCCCCGCCCCGCAGCCCCTGTGCATTTAGGACGCGCGGGAAAATGCATTTGCGGTCTGCCGCGCGGGAAAATGCATCCGGAGAGTGTCGTGAGCTGGAAAGGAAGCAAAACTTCGTTCTAGACCTCGCGCCTTCGTGGCGCCCTTAGCCCAGCACCCCTAGACGGACGCGCGGAGACTGGAAAGGACCCTCGCCCCTGATCGGAACCCTAGACCCTGTACCTCCTCCCCCCCCTCCCCCCCTCCCCCCCTTCCCCCCTCCCCCCCCGCCCCCCCCCTCCCCCCCTCTCCCCCCCCCTCCCCCCCCCTCCCCCCCCCTCCCCCCCCCCCCCCGCCCCCACCTCCCTCCCCTCACCCCCTCCCCCCCCCCTCTTCCCCCCAACCCCCCCTCCCCCCCTCCACCCCCCCAGCCCCCCCCCCTCTCCCGCTGCCCTTCCTCCCCTTTTTTTGCGAAACCCTCTTTCCTCCTTTCCTGTCGTGGGGCCGGCCCGAATGTTGAGGCGGCGCGCGCAAGCGTTTACAATTAGATGATCTGGCCCCTCGCACTGACCGTGATCTTCTGATGTCCGCTCTGGATGCCCAGCACCCCAGCTTCACGCTTTGTTCATGGTGAACGCGGCAGAGTTTTGCAGAAGCCTTGCCAGTTCTCTGTGTTCAACGGCGTCGTTTGTCGTGCAGAGTAGCGCAAAGTCGGCTGCTTGCAAGAGTGACATTACTAATTGCGCATGTCCTCACCACTGACCTAAACCCGCACCCTCAGCAAACGGCGCTTTGCAACCTCAAGATTGAAACGAAGGGTACTCGGCCATGCATTTTCGAAAGAGACAACAAAACAATGGCGTCCTGTTCTGCTTGTCTTGATGACATCGAGGACGCATCACTCCAAAAAAGGCTACACGTTTTTCGCAGAGCACTGATGTCCAGTTGCCACATGCCTTTTTGTGAATTTGCGCTGGCATCATGATCTGCCATCTTGCGTAAAAATAAATACATTGGACAAAGGAAACGCTGTTTGATAGGCAAGGTTGCACACATGTATGCACACATTGTAGACCAACTCCGTCTGAGCCCCGTTTCACTCGACTGCATGCAATGCTCCGCGTGTATCGTGAGCGCTGCTCCCGAAAACCCGGGGCAGCAGGCTGGAGAAACAGATGCTGTCTGATTGCACCCTGTTCAATTATGAAACGATCACGCTCTCCATATTCTAACTATCCTAAACAAGTTGGTCCGCACGAGGTGACACAAACGAGCACATGATCTGAATCACATATTTCTGTCACTCGCATGGACACAGAGCCATGACACCAACTCACTGCTTGGGCTCAAGCAGGCCGTAAGAATGCTTCCAGCGACTCCAGGTAGCAAGCCATCATACGGTCGCAGCCAGTAAGAGTAAAGAACCCACCAGTTTGACAAGAAGCGTTTATCGTGGCGGTTGTGAGAGCTGAAGTATCTGCAGTCTGCATACATGAATTGTGCCATAAACCTCATGCGCAACCAACTCTTCAAGATGGGTGCTCACGATTTGATGCCTCGGACCCACCGTTCGTTCTCTCTTGAAGCCACCACGGCAACTGCTGAGCTGTGGTAAGACACAGCATGTGTGCAAAGGTACAACACTGCCGTGGCACGCGGCGTTATATACAAAGACACTCCATGCGACAAAATGCACAACACCGAATCTCAACCCCCAAGCGCACGCAGGAGAAAACAGGAAAGCTGGGCAACGGAAGTCCTGCCAATGCATGTGGAAGGGGACTGCTTACTAGGTGTCGGGCGTGTTGCAGGGGGGGATGGATTTGATTCGTGGCGATCGGAGTGACTGAGACCCTTTTCCATGAATATCAGCAACCTGATCCCTCCATCGGCCAGCCGCCAGTGTAAGCCACCCTTCGAATCAGGCCTCTGCGTATTCAACCTGCACTTCTCAACACGCCTTCCAAGGCTCCCAGATCCCCAACTCCCGGCAGTGCAACACATGGCCCTTCACTCGTTCTTCTGGGCATCCAACCTTTTTGCCACACAAATTGGCGGTCGATTAAGCGCACGTACTTTTGGCGTGCCCAGTCTATTTCAAGACTCATCCAGCTTTTAAAGGAGTTCCCCAAATGGCACGTTGACTTTGTGACGCCTTTTCTTGGGCGGCACCTATTTTGATGCATCCAGTCTCGAATGGTCTAGGGGAATGCAAGGAACGTCTCCAAGGAAGACCAGCATCTCTTTCCAGTGGTTCGAAGTTGGATGCTTCTAAGTCTAGACATAGCTTGCACTAGTTTTGCGATCTTGGCACTTCGTGCACTGGACCAACGTGTCAGGCAATGCGGTGTGCCTGGGCAATGCTGGGATCAGTTGTATCCGAAGTTTGGACTCAGGGTTCAAACACTCCAGACAGCCAGACAGCTGCATGATTCGAAGTATCAGGTATGCTGTTGCCATACCCCAAGGTGGGGCCCCCAATCCCCGGAGTTCCCGAATACGCCAAGCAAGAACCTCCATACATGACCTTTGTATTCCCGACAGCCTGCCCATCACAACTGCGAAGGCCCAAGGACCAGCCTCATCGCCTCAGCTGCTTTCAGAGACTCGCTGAGCAACCTGCTCCTATCGAGAGGATGCATCGTTCATCTCACAGGATCACCGTCATCACAAGTAGGGTCGGTGTCAGCATGCAGTTGCATCTGATCTCGAGGCCTACTCCAAAGAACGGGCGATTCAGGGCGGGGCTGAAGTATCTTGGGCCGTGATTTCTCTTGGCAGATAGGCTTGGGAAGGGGGCAACATGCTCTTGCTCCTGAGAGTTTAGTAAGTGCGGCCATGCTCAGCTGTGTGTTTGAATTGTCGGCTGTTCAGCAAGGGAGGGAAGGGATCAAAGCCCCACTAGTCTCATAGCTGAAAGAAGGATCAGTAGTTGTTGAATCTCAAGAACACGCGTCCTGAGGGAAGATCTGTAAGAATGCTCACAACATCACGCTTCAACATGGGATTCAGAGGCCAGGTTGAAGTGCAGTGGCAGCGGTACATCTAGTGTTTGGTCTCCGTGTCTTTGAGGGAAATTTTGTTGAAAGCACGGCTCTCGCATCTCATCAATTCAGGGCTGGACCCCTCTGAACACCCAGTGACGAAACCCAATTCTTCATTGCGTGCAATTGCAAATGTATATGATGAACCCAATGCGTCACCCTTTCATCCCCACTGCCAACACACAACTTGCCACCTTCTTCCACTCCTCAACGAAGCAAGTGTCTGTGCTGGAGAGCTGTAGCTGCGGGCGCAAGGATTTCAGGGTTTTGGCTTTAGGGGCTTCAGCCTGGGTATTCGAGATGGTCGGTTCTTCGAACGAAGGTTTCTGAGACGCACTGATAACATGACAGGGTATTTGAAAGGGACCTGCATCTAAACAGCTGACCATATACCCGCTCAGGGATGCCTAAACCCCAAACGCCGCCCTGAGCCCTGAGCACTAAATCCTAAACGCTACGTAAACCCTAAACCCTAAACCCTAAACCCTAAACGACGAGACCCACGTCCGTCAAAGAGCCTGTCGTGTCACGGTCGAGCCGACCGACCGGATGATACCTTCCCCAAATCTTAGGGTTTAGGGTACGGTTTAGGGTTTAGGGTTTAGGGTTTAGGGTTTAGGGTTTGGGGTACATGGTCTATTAGTATGGGCCCTTGCAAAGGGGACCCCGTATATACCCCTTGTGTACCCTATACAACCCGAGGGCCCATACCTCAGAACCCTTTAACGAAGGTACAGGCCCATATTCAGGGACCACGTAACTACTCTGAGACCAAAAAAGGGTGTGAAACCCTAGGCGTTTTAGGGTGCCATCGTAGACCCTGAACAGGGAGAGACCATGGGGACACGCAAGAGCCTTCCAATGGATCACGACCACGTCTCAAAGACAGCCAGAGCCCAGAAGTCCAACAGCGCACGAGCGCTTCGCATGTTGAGGAAAAAACGGACGTCCAAAAGCGACCACAGCTCAGCATTTGAGGGACCCAGAAGCCCAAAGGTGAGGACAGTTTCGCATTTCGTTAGAGTTCTGAGGACGCCGGTTTAGGGTTTAGGTTTTAATGGTACATACTTGGCCTTGAAGGGGTTCCTATATAGCCTTAAGGCCCAAGCGTATCCTAAATCCTAAACCCTAAAACCCCATGGTACGCAGAGCCTGAGGGTTCATAAGGGAGCCCTGGGAGAGGGCGGGGATGTGGCCTTTCTCGGGTTTTTACGGGAACGTACTGCCTTAAACCCTAAACCCTAAGAGCCCTGAACCCCTAAACCCCTAAATCTTAAGCTCCAAACTCCGATGGTACCTTAGGCCTAAACCCGAAAACCTAAACCCTAAACCCGGGAGGAAATCGGAGCCGGTGTGCTCTCACGGGTCAAGTTTGGGTTAAGGGTTGAAGGTTCGGCTCCGGGGGTTTTTAGGGTTCAAGGCCCTAGGCCTGCTTTTGGCTTTAAGGTTTAGGGTTCAGGGTTTAGGGTTTAGGGTTCAGGGTTTATAGGGCTCAGGAATGTTAAACATCCCTTGATCCCAAGTAACCAACTGTCCACACTTCTCGCTGGCTGGCCTGATCACTTTGACTTCCAGCCACATGCACACACCCCCGCCTATGACCCAGGTAAGTAGCAAAGGTTCTGGGGTTTGGGGTATAGGGTTTAGGGTTCAGGGTTTAGGGTGTAGGGTGCAGGGTTTAAGGGTTTAGGGTTTAGGTTTGGGGTTTTGGAGTTGGTGTAGGTTGGGCTGTGGGGAATGTAACCCCCAGCCCTCAGGTTCCGCCAAGAGCCTGGCTGTTGCAGCGACAACCACGGCCTGCATGCAGCTCAAGAAACAAAGGCCGTTTGAAGAAGGACTGATCCATCAAATGTTACTAAACTTTTTACTTGCCCAAACATGTCTATCATGGGGGGCACCGGGTGGATGATGAGTGCCGCGCGACTTGCTCGCAAGTTGCTGGTTGGGTGTTCTGAGTAATGACACCGCAAGCCGAATCGTCGGCCCCGCAACTCCCTGTAAGAAGAACACCAGTTGCTTCAGATGCTTCCGGAGGTTGAAAAAAACTTCTCCATGACCAAAAATACATAAAAGTACATGTACATGTACCTGTCTGGACCTGCTTCTTTCAATATGGGGGGGGGGTCTACGATATTAGGTACCTTGTTGGGGTCCTTACGACAAGGAGATCCTATACTATTTTGGGGGTTGTCGAGGTTCCCTACTTTCGTAAACCCCCACATACCCACTTCATGGCGTCATCATTTCTCCGCCATGTCCTTCACACGCCTTCAAGCCAGCACTGCGGCGAGTGGCTGGGTGCCCTTCTCCAGCACATCAATACAGGTGCCATTGTGCAACACGAGGCGCAGTGCCAGGGGTGAGCAGGGAAACCTGGGCTCTTGTTGAGGAATTCTGAGTGGAGCTTACCACAAGAAGAGTTGCAGAGCAACTTAAATATGGTGCCCGTCATATGGCTTCCTAAATTGAGCTACCAGAGTTTTGGGGGTTACCCTGGTGATGGAAGCTGAACTTGAGTTTCTTAGCAACCCAGATGCGCGGCAGCAAGGTCTTCGACAAGTGTCCGCGTCAGCATCTTGCCTGTGTCCACCGTCACCTGGGGCATTAGCTTCACCTAAGGCCCCTCTGGCAGCTAGGGTTTAGAACGGTGCGCGTGAAAACCGGTGTCACTACCTTACTTCTGCCGCATGCCCTGCTTGCCCAACTTGCTCTGGGGACGCGAGGACCGATATGTGCCCCCTTGGGCTCCTTCTACAAAATAGAAGCCTTTCCTCCACCCCTCCCCCCGCCCCCAAAAAGTAGCCCCATTCGGGACGAACCTGCGCAAACTGCCGACCATCCATCGTGCGTGCCCTGATGACCGCAGTGGAGTTGTCGGAGTTCTCCACCTCCAGCTGCACGACAATTGTGTCCTGGGTTCAGGGTCGACTTAGGGCTTTAGGGTTCTGGGATTAGGGTTTAGGGTTTAGGGTTCAGGGTCGATTTAGGGCTTGAGGGTTCTGGGTTTAGTGTTCTCTGTGAACTCTGATTTGTGCGTCGGGCTTCAAGGTCTACCCATGACTTCGTCAGCCGAAACCCATGCATGAAAAAACCCATACAGTAGATGTATATACTTAATTGTCTACTTCTTTTGCTTATTTATACTTATAAGCATCTTATATGTAGATGTATATTTATCGATGCATAGTTAAATGCATCTTGGAATTTCGATATGTTTCTTCATGCGGGTCTGTACGTGTGTATAGTTCAGACCAGTGACAATTGATATTTACTTCTTGCTACTGTATTGTAGACTTAAGACCTACGAATCATATCGTGCAATTGCAGAGTTATATCGAATCATGGGGGAGGTGACCAAATATGTGTATGCATATCTATATACATATACATACATATATACAGGTTTCCTGAGAAGGGACACCCACACCACAGCCGTGTTTTGGAAAAACTCGCTAGCCTGCCCTGGGCCCCGCGGCCGGGAAGGACTGCCGCTCTTTGTTCAAGGCAAGTAGCCGTCTCCTGGTCCGAGTCCACATCATTGGCGAGAGACGAGTCCATGCCGCAGTCTTCGTCGTTCAGATGATGGTCCAGCTCAATGCCGCACTCTTCCATGAACTCCAGGCAATGCTCCTTGGTCACACCCTTGCCCACACCCCACTCCTCCATGCACTCGCAGGTGTTCTCCAGCTCGTCCCACCACAGGCCCTCTCCACTGTAGTTATCATCGTGGTGCTCCGATGTGATGCCCCAGTAGACGATGCCCCTCTGTGTGTCCACGGCCGGACGACCGGAGAGTCTGTGGTTCTCCTTTGGCAGCTTGCCTGGGCTCTTGTGAACGAACCTAACCAAGTTACCATGCGTAGGGCTATGTAGCACTTGATATAGTGTGCTTGCTACGCTGACCATTTTCCCTAAACCCTAAACCCTAAACCCTAAAGCCCTACAAGAGCCCAGTTGCACTGCTTCTTCTTCAGGTGCACCAGCCGCTTCAGCCCTGCCAGGTTGCCAGTCTTCCCAAACATATACCTTACTTGGAGCTTCGTGGTACTTATTGACCAATTCTGAGTGTACTTATAACCCACTTATAAGCCCCTTACATGCCCTCATATGGTTACAAGTACAGCTGCAAGTACAGTTTTAGTTGCCTCCAAGTACCGGCTCCGAGATCAGGAAATTTAGGTGCCCTATAGAAAGCCCTCAAGTGAGGGGATTCGGCCACTCCCTAACAGTCGTTCAAAGGGATTCCATGGGGAGCGGGGGGGTGTTTCTAGCAGATGCCGAACTCCCGATACTCCAACTACCAAAAGCCAGTAGCCCTAAACCCTACAGTAAACCCCAAACCCTAAACCCTCAACTACCAAAAGCCAGTAAGACTTCAGCACGAATACCTGGCCCGCAGCATCCGCAGCTGGGGCAAAGAGTCCGCCAGGAACCCAAAGGGATCCTGCTGGTTCTTCGTAACTTCGTAGGGAATTGAGGTACCCCATATACTCCCTTAAAGGGGAACCCTAAACCCTAGGCCCTAGACCCTAAACCCAAACCCTACACGGCCCCTAAGTCCCTCATTCGCTACTAAGAGAACCCAAAGGGATCCTGACCCCCGATAGCCGCATCGGTCTCAAACTCGAGGAGGCTTCCTGGGCACGCACTCAAGGCCTTCACCAGCATCTCCTGGGCGTTTGTTGTTTAGGGTTTAGGGTTTAGGGTTTAGGGTGTAGGGTGTAGGGTGTAGGGTGTAGGTTTTAGGGTTTAGGGTTTAGGGTTTAGGGTTTAGGGGTTAGGGGTTAGGGGTTTGGGGTTTGGGGTTTGGGGTTTGGGGTTTGGGGGGGGGGGGGGGGGGGAAAGGGGGTTGGTAATTGTTGTTAAACATAGTTGGGGTACCATCTGAATTGACGCAGGGCCAACTACTGTGCAACTATATGATTATGCTCAGGGTATGGGGTTTAGGGTTTAGGGTTTAGGGTTTAGGGTTTAGGGTTTAGGGTTTAGGGTTTAGGGCTCAGGGTTTGAAACGCGAACCCAGTCTCGAAGTTGCGGCCGTGAAAAAGGCAGCCTCGGCAACGGAAGGACTCGAGCGGCGGCTTGGCCACCCTCCCAAAGAGCTTAGGGTTTAGGGTTTAGGGTTTCGGGTTTCGGGTTTAGGGTTTCGGGTTTCGGGTTTAGGGTTTAGAGTTTAGGGTTTGGTTTAGGGTTTAGGGTTTAGGGTTTAGAGTTTAGGGTTTGGTTTAGGGTTTAGGGTTTAGGGTTTAGGGTTTAGGGTTTAGGGTTTAGGGTTTAGGGTTTAGGGTTTAGGGTTTAGGGTCTAGAGGGTCACTGTTCTAGCATTCATTCCAGGCTCAAAAAAAACCCACCCGCCCAAAGAATCCCATAACATTAAGAAAATAAACGGTTGTCATCTTCCCCAGAGTACCTACCCAACTCGGACACGTTTTCCACTGAACCTTCCACCGACGAACAATAGGGTCAGATTAGGGGAGGGGACGGGGTGAGGATAGGGGGTGAGAGGGGGGGAGAGAGGGGGGGGAGGGGAGGGGGGGGCGGGAGGGGAGGGGGTGAGGGGGGAAGGGGGGGAGGGGGGGGAGGGGCCGAAATCGGCCGAACACTGGGGGGACCAGTGTTCGTGGCTTTTCGGCCAAGCCGAAATCGGCCGAACACTGGGGGGACCAGTGTTCGTGGCTTTTCGGCCAGGCCGAAATCGGCCGAACACTGGGGGGACCAGTGTTCGTGGCTTTTCGGCCGTGGCCGAAAACGGCCGAACACTGGGGGGGACCAGTGTTCGTGGCTTTTCGGCCAGGCCGAAATCGCCCGAACACTGGGGGGATCAGTGTTCGTGGCTTTTCGGCCAGGCCGAAAGCGGCCGAACACTGGGGGGACCAGTGTTCGTGGCTTTTCGGCCGTGGCCGAAATCGGCCGAACACTGGGGGGACCAGTGTTCGTGGCTTTTCGGCCAGGCCGAAATCGGCCGAACACTGGGGGGACCAGTGTTCGTGGCTTTTCGGCCGTGGCCGAAATCGGCCGAACACTGGGGGGACCAGTGTTCGTGGCTTTTCGGCCGTGGCCGAAATCGGCCGAAGGTTTAAATATATATAAGAAAGAGAGGGTTTAGGGTTTAGGGTTTAGGGTTTAGGGTTTAGGGTTTAGGGTTTAGGGTTTAGGGTTTAGGGTTTAAAGGGCTCTTCGGCCTCAGAAAGTTGGCCACCGAGGCGGCCGAGTGGAAGCCGCCCTGCAGCGTCACTTTCCTGGGCTGCTGCTCGAAAACTTGAAATAGAAGTTATCATGCCGGTGGATATGTACAGACGTGGACACACACACAGAGGTCGCAATGTATGTACATATGCACATATAAGTATATATACATGTACACACATATATATATATATGGTATATATGGTAATATGGTACATATATATATATATATATATGGTATATATATATATGTATGGTACACCCCCCCCCCCGGTACCTAGGTCTCCATTTGTTCCCGGCCTCAGATAAGTTGCCTCTTGGAGGGTTTAGGGTTTCGGGCTAGGCTTCACTGCCAGATGCCATGATGTTCGTTTGAGTGAAAGTGCTGTACTGTCCCAAAAAAAACCAATCCCAGAAGCCGAAAATGCCGCACTGTCCCTCAAAACCTAAAACACCAATTCTGGTGGCCTATACAGACAGGCCCTCTTCCAAAGACTGGTTTTTAGGGACAGTACAGCACTTTGAAGGTCTAAGGTGCTGAAAGTGCTGTACTATCCCTAAAAAACCTAAAAAGCCAATTCTGGTGGCCCATACAGCCAGGCCCTCTTCCAAAGATTGGCTTTTTAGGGACGGCACAGCACTTTCAGCGCCTCAGGCCTTCAAAGTGCTGTACTGTCCCTAAAAAACCAATCCCAGAAGCCCAAAATGCCGTACTGTCCCTAAAGAAAAATAAAAAAACCAATTCTGGTGGCCTGTACAGACAGGCCATCTTCCAAAGATTGGTTTCTGTTGGGACAGTACAGCACTTTGAAGGTCTAAGGTGCTGAAAGTGCTGGACTGTCCCTAAAAAACCAATCTTTTCGGGGCCTACCTGATAGGCCTCCAGTATTTTTTTTTAGGATTTTAAGGGACAGTACGGCACTTTCTGCTTCTGGGATTAGATTTTTAGGGACAGTACAGCACTTTGAAGGCCTGAGGTACTGAAAGTGCTGTACTGTCCCTAAAAAACCAATCTTTTCGTGAGGGCCTGTCTGCACAGGCCACCAGAATTGATTTTCAGGTTTTTTAGGGACAGTGCGGCATTTGCGGCTTCTGGGATTGGTTTTTTTAGGGGGGGTGGGGTGGGGGGGGGG